TTTAATTTCCTTCCTAGACCTACTATTCGAAAAAATTCCCCGTTGTGATCATTTTGTAATCACCCCCCACGACACCGAAAAATCAACCCCTCCGAGGCCAGGAAACCTCCAGTTGGCTCGAAGACTTTGGTATGCTTCTGAAACACATGTTTTCGTCAAAGCATATCAGGTAATAGGCCATTGGGCGCCAATTGGCATCACATATGCAATGCGCCATGCATGGGGCTTTCACGCAGGTGTTTGAAAGGTGTAACTTCTAGATAGGGCTTCCCAATTGCAAGCAAATGTGCTCCTACGATCAGAAAAGTCCGATGAGATCAGAAAAGACCTTGTGGGCGCGGTGATCGTAGCTCCTATCATCGCCCCTTCCTCGTACGTATTGTCAGTATGCTACACCAGCGCCAGAGTGCTGGACGTGGACGTGCTTGGGACGTACGTAGGTACTGCGACCCCCCCCCCCCGCTCGACAGCAAAATTTTGTAAAAAAACCAGAAACTTTTTGGGAAAAAATAGACAAAGTGGTAGGAGGTTGGAAAAATCTAGGGAAGAGGTAACATGGGAGGGGGTCGTACTTGAAGATGGAATTAGGGGGGGTCGTATTTTTCAGGAAATGATCACAACGCAATGGCGTGCCCTGGTCAGGGTCCCGGTGCGCGCCATGTGTGGAGAGATGACCTCGTGACGATGAGGGCTCTAGCAAAGGCAAGTGGTTTATCTAAAGCAGAAACTCTCACAAATATCATAACCGCATTCCTAGGTTGATTTGTTGACTAAAGGCATTTTGCTTCTAGTTCGTGGCACACTCAGTACGACTTCTTCTGAAAGTGGTTTGGGATGGGTCCGGGAACGAGTAAGCGAGACGCTGGAGAGAATCCGAGGAAGTCCTGCGCCTTTAGCTGGTCAAGGAACTGCGGTCGTCGTAACAATAGGCAGAGCTTATCGGTATGTGTCCCAGACACTTTTGCTTCTAATTTTAATTTCGAAATCATCCTGCTTTATATAATCCGCTATGTCCGTGCGTGTGTGTGCGTCTGTCTGTCACGAAATTCATAGCGCCGGTCCCAGTAGCAGTGAGACATTGGTTCCAAGGAAGTGATGTAGGGGGTGTGACGGGAACACTATTGGTGGGTGACAGGAAGTGATATCAGTTGATAAGATCCGATAAGAGGCGTTAGAAGACGGAGGTCACTACAGGGGGGGGGGCAAAAAAAAGTCACTTCGACCGAGTCACATATCAGCAAAGTTTTCGCTGCCCAGACAGAGGACGTGGATACGAGTACCAGGGCGGAAGATACCCAAGATGTTCCTCGATAAGCAGGAGCTGGCTCTCGCCCATCACCTTCATGTACACCAAAATATGAAGTCATCTCCAGTCGCAGCCTGACTGGAGAAGACCTTTGGAATTCATGTCACCTCCAAACAGCTGCGAAACTTCTAGTATGGAGTCACCCATGGATAGCTACCTGGAGACCAGTACTCTCGATCTGGATGACCTCCAACATCGAGCAGCTCCGACAACGTCGCCACGGTCTAGGACATCATCTTCACCGCAAGGCGCGGGTTGATGGTATGGACCGGACGTACCTGGAATGGAAAGACCAATATTTTTTCGTGGACCCCGGACTGAAGGTGAGCGCTGGCGGTTACATTGAGCAACTCGTGAAGAATATCCTCCTCACATGTCGTCGCCCGTACCTTCTTGGAAACTTTGTACTGCTACAGCATTGGGTGCCACCACATGGAATCGAAGGGCATTGTAGAAACTCTCACCTACTTGGAATGGAAAGGGGCTGAGTACCTAAAGAAGATGGAATATCCAAATAGGTCACCTGACCTGAATCCCCTCAATTACCCGGTTCCAGGGAGTTCAATAGGGTGGTCTACGGTGGCGGAGAAATCGACTATCTCGCTGATCTCAGGCACCACATCGCGGTCGCGTGCCAGAATCTCTCGATGGCGCTCGTCCAGAAGGCTGTGGCGGAGTGTCATGATAGTATTTAATATGCTCTTTAATATGGTGGTAAAAATGTCCGATCAGAATTTGATAAAGTGTAACTTATAGCGCCTCGAAAGTCAATGAAGAGAAGTGACTTTTTTTGGCTCCCCTGTATATTCAGAACGCGGGTGACAGCATCAGCTAGCTCTTGATTCCAAGATATGATATAGGGTATGGGCCAAGAACATCATTAGTGGGTGACAAGAACTGTAAGCTGCTGATAAGATCCGATAAGGGGCGTTAGAATGGTGAGGTCATCGTATTCACAGCGCAGGTCACAGCATCAGCGAGGCGTACGTCTCAGCAAGTGATATAGAGGGTGACATGAGGACATGAATCTGGGTGACTGGAAGCGATAACTACTGATAGAGACTGATAAGTGAAGTTGCAGTCGTCGTCGCTGTTCAAGGTGGTTCACGCTACCAAATCATAGAGATTTGGTGATGAGGACATTGATGACGGGTGACAGGTAATCTTATCAATCGATAAAAACAGATAAGATACCATCTGCGCTACATTTTTATCACTTCTTACCGCTTTAATGCCGAGTATTAGAGGCTCAGGTGTGAACCCTTTCCTTTTACACACTGAGCCTCTAATACTGGAAGGGGAGGGGGTATATGGTGCGGCTGAAACGGGAAAATCGAGAAATTCACCAACCAAAAAAATTTTCGCAACTGCCTGCTATGTGATGTATGTTATGTGTTCGGAGGTCGCGGTCGTAATTGAAACAAAATAAGGAGGGAACCCAACAATTGGGAGTGGGAGCGTCCCATCGGTGGTCATTCGAGCTCTCCGTGTCCGTGCGACACAAACTTTTATATGTACAAGCAATGTGGAATTCTCCTTTTCAGTGCCACCCATTACTCTGCAGTTATGCCTCTTCCGGTTATTAAGAGCTCATCCGGACTAATTCACCTTTACCCATTCTGTTGTCGCAACTGCGGTCCTTAATGATATGGTGCAGCCTTCTCACCGTTGAAAGTCTGTAGTAAGCAAGGGGGACCAGATGTTGGTAGATAATGACTGATGTTGAGCTATTTTCAACTCATTTTCCTGCATTTCAATAAAAAAATTGCTGTCATCATTTTGCACATTTAGCGCATTCTACCTCGCCCAAGGGAAGAGTGCCTGGCGAAGCCAGGTCGGCCCGGCGAAGCCGGGCCGTGAAACAGAAGGAGGAGCACCCGGCGGCAGCCGGGTGATCCGACTGGTGTAAAAAGATCAGCTAGCTGACGTTTGGGTCAGAAAAACTGTGGGGCTTAGGCAGGGGGTATTTTGTTAACTGGATCGTTTCTTTTGTGACAAACCTCACGGATATGGGGAGGGCGTGGCTTTGCACTTTGTTTGAACGTCGCAGCTTCTGTGCTTCCTGTAGGATTTCTCGATTGAGAGCAGTCGTAATCATGTCCCTGTCCAACACAAGACAGAACGCCGCCTCAAATGGGGTTCCCACAAAAGACCAATCTAACGTGTTTGCGGATGTAGAGTGCAGTTCCTGTCAGGTTACAAGTCATTTTTGGTAATACCTTCCTAGAGAATGAATTAGCAGTGATTTGTGAAAACCTGCGGAATGCCCCCTCCAAGGCGAGCACGCCTGTTTACTTCTTCATCGAAACCTGAATTGTCATGAATTGTTGCCTTCACTCAGAGAATGCCTTTCCAGGAGTCTTTCTCACCGATTTGTCGCGCCAACATCGTTATGCGACAATTATTCTGTTGCTATTTGGAGGACGGAGGAGTGGGTCTGATTTTATGACTTGGAATTCTGTAAAATATTGCTCATTTTCACTTTTTCCAACCATGTTGTGCATTAAATTTTGTTTGCATTTTATTCGTAGCTATTTGTAGCGATTGCTTTGCAGTAGTATTGTTTAGTTTTTACTAACCTTTGATTTGTATCATTTTGTACTTTGTGATATAAGTTCTAAGTCAGTCCATCGATTGTTGCATGAAATGCGTGGCTTAATGGAATCTCAAGACTTTTTCTCGTCATTTGTATTATACGCTTTCAAAGTGCTTTGAGTTGAATTTTAGTGTTAGACCGTTTAGTTGTCGCTATAATTTGACGTAGGTCAGTAAGCATCCTCGGCTGGGATGTTTGGTTATGAACAAAAATCACGGTGTATTGTTGCTTGTTTTGTCTTTCCTCTCGATTGTTTCATCTCTATCGCATTCCCACCCTGATAAATGTTGTGATTAATCATAGAGTATAATTGTTTGAGTGAAGATCTTCAGGTGTACCTTTACTACCAGAGAATCGCTTAATTACGGCAACTTAGTTGTATCGATCTTATTCAGAGTGATGACGTTATCGAAACAGAACTTTGAAACCTACGGTCTTTCCAGTTTCGTCAAAGGCCTCATAGGTACTAAGGTCTACATAGAACTGAGAGCAGGAACCTTTGCGATAGGTATGTTAACAGGAATAATCATCTGATACAAAATACACGTGAAATGCAAGTCGTTTATAGTCATGGTCCACGCAGGAGCGTGAAGCTACGTGAACTTATCAGGTCATCTCATTCAAAAACAACGAGACATCTAGAGAAATGTAGAAAAGCAATGGGGCTAGGGCTGCCGGCTGCTATTAGGTTGGCGGGAAAGTTCTGTCACATTTTTTTCAAATTAGACTTTCTTTTTACAGAGAGGCGTACAAGATCAAAATTATACAGCAATGTTATTGCGGGATCCTTGCCAGTTTTTGAGCACCTCATGGATGCCATCGCTTCACAATGCAGGGAGGCGCGACGCAAAGTTGGACATCATCTCAATTTTGACCTGCGCTCGAGTTGTGAAGCTTTTTCGGCCATATAACAGTTAAGTACAACCAGCAGTTAGAAAGAGCAATGTCTGGGCTACACCAGCAGGGTACAGCATAGGGATAGGCGAATGTCAGTGTGAGTACGACCCCCCTCTTTC